AGAAGATAGAATATGGCCTTGGGTTTTAACATATTAAAATAGAATCCCTATTTACCCCATATTCTGTCTACTGAGGGGGGCGAAACCCTAAACCCTAAAACCTAAACCCCCTAATCCCTAGAGGGGGACTATAAATCGATCAAATCGAGCCTGCAAGTTGATTTGATCAAGCCAGCAAGTACCAAATGGGCGTCTGTCTTACTTGGAGGGTCTTGGGGACTTAGTAAGTACGTAGGTTGATACTGGAAAAGAAAATGGTAACTACTACCGTATTTAGGGTTTAGGGTCATGGGGACTTAGTAAGAAGGTTAAAAATGAGGATAACTAGGGTTATTACATGGCTTATAGGGGTTAATAACCTACTTACTAAGTCAGGCCTCATGCCAATTCCTGATACCCTGAACCCTAAAACTCTCCGTCTGGAATGATGGGAGTGCTCCTGGAACCTCTGTCTAGACAGGCAACCTCAACCAAAAATGACAGGAATTCTCGGGGAATATCCTCCTAGATTGACAGGATGTCAGTGGAACGGGCATGCAAAGTCACCAGATCTCCATGGAAACATCCATCTTAAGATGACATGAGCTATAGTCTAAACTCCTAGTATCTCCCGTAATAAGCCCTATAATACTCCACTAGGTAATCCTTTCTATAACCACCTTTTGAGGATTTTAGACTATAGCTTACATAGGACTTCTTTAGGAACCTCCATTTATATGACTTGCACCGGAACCTGAAGCTGCAATGGTTTGGGGCTTAGGATTTAGCGTTGGATTTCTGGGGGAACCTCCATCCAAAATCAGAAGCTGGGGAACCTGCGTCAAAGTGATAAGTGACAAGGGTCCAAGGGAATTTCCAACTAAAATGAGAGGATGTCGAGGGAACCTCCAGCTAAACTGGTAGGATTGGAATGTAATCTACCATCTAAGATGCAAGAAGTTTGGGAGAATCCTGCATTTAAAATGCAAGCCATCTGAAAGGGTGAATTCTAGAAAACCTTCACTCTGTAGTGATAGGATTTGCACGGGAAATTGCCCGTCCAAAGTCACTTCATGAACGGGGGCAACATGCAAGGTAGTAGGAACTTCGGAAAATGCACGTCGACTACAATGATGGGCTAATGGCTTTCTAGGTACACCCTAAACCCCAACCCTCTGCTACCAAGATGCATCGGCCCTGAATACTCAACCCCTTAACCCTAAACCTAAACCCTGAACCCCTAAACCCTAAATCCTAAGCCCTAAACCCTAAACCCTTGTACCCAAAATACTCAGGCCTTAAACCCTAAACCCTAAATCCTGAACCCCTAAACCCAGAACCCTAAATCCTAAGCCCCGTCACGACTTCAGGAGCCAAGGACTTTTGCATCAGACGTCAAGCTCTGCAGGTGGTTGCAGCGAAAGCTGGTGCAGCATTCCTTTCATGAACCTGGCGAAGGCTTTAGGTTGGATACTGCCCCCACTCAGAAACAGTTGGATAATAAGTATAATATGGTTACATATGCGCCAGCATCCGCTGTGGCTCAAAGAAAGGTTAAAAGAAAGTTTATTGTATTTGTAGAGGGTTCCCCCCCCCTCCTGTGGTGCTGGC